CATCCCTGCCACTTCCTCACTAATAAAGCAGAGCCTTAACTGGTATAACTGGGCTGATATCACTCTGTGAATAACATTGCAGGACTTCAGTAGAGCTAGAAAGATTTATACCACTTGTCCCTAGTTTTGTTACAAACTGTAAAAGGTGTAGTATCTGGGATTCTAAGGCTAACATGGGAAGCTTTTCTGGTGCCCTTTCGTTGAAATGTTCTGACAAAGTGTCAGGGAACAATACTATAGCAGTGATCGTGCTGTCAAAGCTTTAAGAATTGGGGTACAACCTCAGACTTAGAGAGCTTGCTGAAGTCCGGTGTCAGGTAAAAGAGTATCCCCTCCTTGGCTCCTGGCAGAGTGACGCCACGGAAGAAAAGAATAAACAACATGAGGTAAGGATAGGTGGCTGAAAAATATACAACCTAAAGAGAGATGGAGAGAAAGATGTCAGCAGTTAGCAACACACTAACTGCCAGCGGGTACAGCTACACATGCGCTTTACTGTGAAGTTGACTAATTAGCTCTGTAGAAAAGTGTCATTGTCTACAAGTGTGTTGGTATGAGGGTACAGTAAATTAATTTAATTAATTCTGTCATAGGATACAGTACTCTCTTATGGCAGAGTAATTGTGTGTGCTGAAATGCACGCGAAGACGGTGACAGGGGCTGGCTGGACACGAGGGGCATTTTTACATATGTAAACACTGCTGCGCCAGGCGCTTTTCAAAGCGCCTGGTGCTGTGACGCTTGTAGTTGTATAAGTGGCAAAATGCACGTCAGCGCTGAGAAAATAGCAGCGACATGCTTTTGAACTAACAAGCTTAGAAGGTGCTTTAGTTCAAAAGTGCACCATTACCATCTTCTGCGCACTAACATGCATTTCACCACTTATACAACTGCATGAGACACAGCACAGTATGCGTCTGCTCCATAGTGGCGGATCTCCGGCGCATCGCGGTACCAAAAAGCATGTGTATAAATGCCCAAGGGTGTTTTATAAAGTGCAGGGGCTGCCTGCCGCGTGGCTCCATACTTTAGCACTCTTGTGTCCCAGCCAACCCCTCCACCATCTGGCACTGTCACCTGGAGCCCGGGGCTGATTCCCCTGAACCTGCTGGTGGCCCCGGGCTGCTCCACCCCTGCTCAAACTGCTGCAGTCCTGGGCACACATGTAGACCAACTCTGGTGCTAACTGTGCCAAAGTTTATTGCTCTGCATTAATTGAACATGTAGACGCACCCAGTGTTATAGCAGTTACTACAGTCTTCTATGTATTGTGAGTTTATTTACATTCATTTGTAGCCATATAGGAAAAGAAGGCTGGTAGCCCAGAAAAGAAATAATCTCCATAGACTTTACACAGAAGGCTCATGCCTCATGTAAGAAGTAGCTGACTTTTTCCCCCCCCATCCCTATGTTATGTTACTACTTAGGTAATATTTAGGATTTTTTCTATTAATGGCACGGGAGGACTGGCTGATCACAGAAATATTAAGATAAACCAATTCCTGGTAAAACTGCAGTAAAAGCAATTCAGTTCCATGAGTGATGAATTTGATCCACAGAAATAGGAAATGTAACCAACTGAAGTAATCTTGCTCTTATTTTCTATCACTTTACCTAGACTTATTTTATTAAAATGCTTCAACAGTCCTAATTTCCTTGATTCCAGCACTGTGATACTAGTTTACAATCTAAGGGAGTTTACCATAAAGAAGTTTTTTCCTGTTATTTAACCTAGATTACTCTTTTCTTGTCATTGCATTACTCCAAGTTGTACCCTAAAATATATTTATCAGGTCCACTATTTTCGTAAACTGAGTAATTTCATGGATTTGTCCTTTCATTCTACTAGTCTGAAATGTTAAACAATAGCAATAGCTTGCAAATACAATATGTTTCTGTTCCGAGGGTCATCCACCAAGACCTAAAGTGGTAGATGATGATTTTCAAAAGAGACTAGTGATTTTAGATGCTCAATTTGCAACATCTTAAGAGGGCAATTTTCAGAGAGGAGGTAGTCAGGAGTGGGCCATAGGCCTTTTTAATATGTCTCAAGTTGGGCATCATACGTAATTTTTGAAAATCTTTGTCTGAGTCCATCAAAGATCTGACAGTTCAATATTCAGCCCTGTGACTCTATCATTGTAGAGTGCTCTCTATGCTTAGAATGAAAATTACTGCAAACATGGTGGCAATTTTTATAACTATGAAAGGTAAATGTCAAGAATTTAATGGCACTTGCTGCAATTCTGCCTTGAAACACAGTAACCCTAATTACAGGCACTCAAATAAAATTGAGTCTGGAGGACATTTCAAAGGACAGCAATAAAAAGCAACACTGTAATGCAAGATTATTGTAAAGTACCTTCCCCGTCCACTCTACACCTTTCCAGATGGAAAAATAGACAAGAACCCATGCTAGAGCAAGAGTTCCAGCAAGGGGCCAGCGAATGCTACCTGGCTCCCCCAAGCCTCCAGAAATCTGGTGCATGTTCCTTCTGCAAAACAAAAGATGTTACATTTTTTTAAAGTACAATCCACAAGGAACAAAGGGTTTGAAATTGCAGGGGTGGGCAAAAGGCACAAAGCAGGTGGAGGAGCAAGCCCAGACATGGGCAGGGAGTGCAAAGGCCTTAAGTGTTCTAAGACACAGAAAAAGGATGAAAGAAAGAGGATGGATGGAGGAAGGCTTTGATCCCCCCCCCCGCTCTGTCTGAACATTTGACTACACGTGAGTCTGCCATTTAAAAAGAGCATCTCCCGTGGGGCACCCTCTCCATATGGCCTGCTGAATAAATCCATACTATTGACAGAGACTTTCAAAGCAGCACCAAAAGACAGAACAGCCACTGCAATGGTAAAACCTGACATAGGCTGGAGACGTACTCCCAGAACTCAGTCACAGCACTGGTCAGATTGGTGGTATCGTTGAGTGAGTAGTTGGAAAAGCACCGATCTGTGTTCCAGGCATTGCCACAGCTTTGCCATGGGAGGTCCTAAAGGGAAGAAGAAGGTGAGGGTAAAGCCAGGGTAGCAATATTTAACTCTGCTCTCAAAACGCTCTTCATAGCCCTCTCATCACTGAATACATATTTGCTTGTTAAACCTCTACCACCTCCATTTGTACTAATTAACAAATTAATGAAGGAAGGAATTAAAATGTCAGACTCTAAGAGCAGAGGATTCTCTGTGGGCTTTGAGAAGGGAATGTGAGGTCACGTTCTCAGGAGGGGAGAGGGGCTGTGGAAGCATAAGCCTGGGTGGACAGAGAAACTAGGAAAAGAGACCAGATGGGTGCTGGAGTATCAGGCGGTGCCTGAGGGGTGTGGGCACATGGAAACATAGGAATAAACAGGTGGAAGTGACTACAAAAACAGGAGAACATGCCAGAGAGCATCTGCAGAAATGTAAAGATGTGCCAATGTGTAGGCAGTTAGTCGGGTAGGGGGCGCTATTGAACATGAGGATGGCAGGGGGAACACACTGGAAGGTTGCAGGAAATGTCAGGTCAAGCTTGCTCAGGTATGTCTACACATGTTGTGATCTACACGTGCTTGGAAGGTGCTATGGGGGTAAGCATCTTCCAAATGTAGGGCAGACATATCCAGTGTGCCAAATAAGGCCTTGGCCATACATCCATTTCTAGTGCTACGAAGTGCTGTAGGGTGTTATGGGAGTAAGCACATATTCATAACCTCAAAGCCATGCTGTATAACCAGGAAGGGACTCTTGCTCCCTCCGATTCCAGACCAGAGAGATTGCCTCTAGCTGATGCCACCACCAGCTCAGGGAGAGGGCAGGGGGAAAGACATGCTGTCCTTAGTCCCTACCAGATTTGTGGGCAGTAGGGGCTTTGCTTGATGACTGCACCTGTCAGGACTGGGTCCTGCCCCCACAGCAGCAGCAGCTGTGAAAGGTTCTAGCCATCAATGGGGGTGGCAGAGGTGCTTTTCTTGCCCCCTCCAACTCCCTGCTGGTGGGGGGGGGCTGTGCTTGCCAGCCATGGCTGCCCCTGTGTGGAACAGCTTCCTCAGAACAGTTGAACAGCTGCTGATCAGTTGTTCCATGGAGTGGGGTCCAGTCTGTAACAGCTGTGCTGCAAACAGAGCTGTAATGGCCATATGGGCTTGCAGGGAGCCAGTCAGTCTCCCCTTCTCCCCCTCCAGAGAAGGAGGCAGAGCAGAGCACTCTGGGATGCTGGAGGTCCAAGAGTTCCCAATAGTGCTAAAGAGAAGTTCCTGTTCGAAACAGAAACTTTTTGGTGCCAGGTCTGCCATTTCTGTGGTACTACAAAAAGCCTGAGCATGTGGACACGTGGTTTTTGTGGCACTACAGTCTAGCACTACAAAAATAACATGCGTCCAAGGCCTAACAATACTCAATAGAGGAGCTAGATAAGAATAGGCAATTTAGTCCATTTTACTGTGTAGACTGGTCTTAAGGTCTGGATTCAGCAGAATACACAGATACACACTTAAGTCCCTTTAAATTTAAGGGATGTTAAGCATGTGTTTAAGCACATGGCAAACTGCTGCTTTAGAAGTCTAGATCCATGGTTTAAGTCTGTTCACTTTGCTGGAGCTGATTCTGGGAGAAATCTGGCCTAGCAGAATAATGCTGATGAAGAGAGTGTGTCGGTCAGGTTGCTTCCCTTTATCTGAACTTTAAAGATTGATTTGAGTTGCAATATTCAAGCATGGTGTGGGTTCAGGTTCTGATCAAAAACTCCTTGCCCAAATTTTGAGGATACTCCAGTCTGGGATTTGGGCCCAGCTTTCCTTAAAGAAACTGAGAGCATGTTTGGTAACTGTGAAATCTATTAATCAATTTGCTGAGACTATCCATTAAGACTGTACAATCAGCTTTATTAATCATACCTGCTCCTGCCTGCATATATACATAGCAGTGACTAAACAGACAGTATCCTATCCCAGAAAAAATGAGCTCTGCATGAAAGCTTGGACAGGTTAATTCTCTATGGGTAAACTCTTCTTTGTTACTTCAAAATCTTCTTCAGAAATCTCATATCCATCCCACAACAAACTTTACAAATTACTTGTCTGGGCTTGTGAGACTACAACAAATATTGCCAGTGATTAGAACGCATTAGGTACTGCAGACATATGGTTTGGGGGTGCTAAACAATAGGAAGATTTTGGCAAAAGATTTCACAGATGCTTGAAAATGGAATCAAACAAAAAACTTAAACTGGACTGAACTATGGTACATGTATAGCATTTCAGCAGCTAAGTCTAAATTAAATGGAATCCCAGAGGAACAATGGTAATACAAGTCTTCATGTTTGTGGTTTGCTAAGATTTATTCTCATACATTAGAGGTCAATAAACATCAGCTGACAAGAAATGAATTTGTGGCTTGATTCTGATCTTGCATTAAATGGTATAAGACCCTGATTTAGGCAAGTACCCCACTGAAGTTAATAAGACTTAGCACAGACTTTAACTTATATGCTTAAAATGGCGTCCTGTTTACGGGCACATCCTTACATTTCTACATATGCTTCTAACATAAACAGATGCTTAAGTGCTTTATTGAAATCAGGCCTACATGAGGAGAAATCCCATTGGAGTCAATAGATTGAGAGCAGCGTAAATGAGATCTAATTACTGGGGACATGGTTCTGACCTTAATGAGATAATATGAAGAAGCTATGTTTGGAACTTGTAACTAAAAAGGTCTGAAACTCTAGGGATGTGATAGAAAGACAAGATGATTTTAACAAGACTCAAGGCTGCAGAGGACACATTTCTAAGATTTGTAAAGGGAATATTCTGCTTAAAAGAAAAATATCAGTATAGAGAAATTCTAAACCACTGTTGTAATTATTTATGAATGTCTCGGTGAAGAATCCAAGACCAGTGTTAATTGAGCTGCTTTACTCAGTCCATAAGCAATCTGTTGTAATATTTTATAGCAATGGTTTTCAAACTTGTTTCATTTGTGGACCCCTAAAAAATTTCAAATGGAGGTACAGACCCCTTTTAATTGTAAATGTAGGTATCCCCATACTTTTGATTGATCATAGTCATCTTTCGCAGACCCCTTGGACATAGTATACAGGCCCCCAGGGTCCATGGACCACAGGTTGAAAACCACTGTTTTGTAGTGCAAAAAAGTAATATATTATACCCCACTTCATCAGAGAAACAGGGTTAGAAAATACATTATAAAAGGCCAAGTTGGCATTTACAGAAATGGCTGAAACTCACCCCAGTGAAAGAGCTGAAGAGATAGTACAGTGACCAAGCAATGATGACAATATAATAGATATTCAACCAGAATGAGAGAACCACAGCAGCCAGACCCACTCCTGGAAAATAAGACAAAAACGCATACTTAACATTAAGTTTGTGGAGTTGGACTGAGCAGAAGGATACAAACCTCCCATAATGAAGTAGGGACAGCAAGCTGAAGAGCAGAGAAAGGACAGAGGTTTGTACCACATTTTCCCAGATGTCAATAAGAAGCAGTGCCATGCCCTCGAGTCACTGAGCAGGCAGTAATGGCATGTTCTGTTAATGTCACACATCTCTGCTGTACCATATGGGTTGAAGAGTGTTGCTTTTCAATCTCTCTAGCAAAGTTTGTGCATGTAGTTTAATGAAAACCAGAGAATAGGAAGCAGCTGTCCCTTTAGCTGCTCCTGCAGTTAAATCTCTTTCTCCTAAAAAACACTTCTAATTCACCCATGGCTTCTGCAATGCTGCTATTAAAAACACAAAAGTGTTATATCTAACTAGTGGACAGCCAGCTTCCCAGTGTACTTTATATAGAGTTTCATAGAGACAGAGCAGCGCTCATTCCATCTTATACCAAGAACAAGCATGATAAACTAGGTTGCCCAATCCAGTCATTGGGATTCAGGATCCTTCCATAAATCAGTGTTACCTACACTTTTTTTGTTATTATAATAAAGTCATTCAAACAAAGAGCAGAATTGTTGTTGAAGCCTGGACACCTTAGTGAAGGACCCCCTATATCTACCATAAATTGAACTAGGCATAACTGTCTACACTGGCTCACCACTCATTTCCCGAAGTCCTGTGTCCCATTCCCACAGGGAATGCTTCCAAATCCAGGACAGCAATGGGGTTAATCTCTAAAGCTAGTTATATTACATCAGCGCCATGAATTTACAGTACAGTACCTTTAAACATGGGTGCTAATTTCCAGACACCCAATCCACCTACGGAGGTATATTGGCCGAGAGCAGTCTCCAGCAGGAACAGAGGAATCCCAGCAAACACCAGTGTCAGGAAATAGGGGATCAGGAAGGCACCTGAAAGAACAAGCAACTTCTAGTAAAGGGCTCTATAATGTTCCATTACCAACAGTCTACTGCACCAGGGCAGCAAATGCATTCCAGGTTAGACAGAAATCAGCCACCTCTTCACTGTGGAAAGCTCACAATTACTACATGAATTCCAGGGTTCAGTTTGCCACCCTGGTACTCTGTTCCAGTCTCAGCAATCAAACGGCAGTATTGTGCTCACCTCTGAGGCCATCCCATGTGATAGTAGACCAACTTTCTCTGGATCCGTCTGTAATTACAGTTAGGATCCTTATGATGATCCTAAGGATACTTTCATAACTATGAAACTATGATGTATTTTCCAATAAATGGTTAATCCCTTTTGCCCTACCAGCCACAAGGTGCCCATCACTGACTTATCAACCCAAATATTTTTATCACATCTGTCAGTGTAGCTTCTGCGCACAAGCCAAAATGGTAGGCAGGGGTAGGTTTTTGGCTATTGATTTTCTGTCCCCTTCATACAGCCCAAAAGCAGAAATGAATGTTTGCATACATTAGCCATCAGTTTCCTTATTTTCTACAATGTTATTATTATAGGAACGTTAAGGCACGCAGGCAGGTCTTGTGTCTTGATCCGAGGTCATCATACTTTCTTAAGGAAGGCAGCTCCATAGTCATAGGATGGCTGTTAAGAAAGCTCAGACTCCAGCTGCCATTGGTCTAATGTTTACTGAGGAGAGCTCCATTCCTCCTGAAGCATGGGAAGTCCTTACCGTGGAGGAGGTAGCTACTGAGCTCTGAAGATTAACACAATGAGCTCAGATTAGCTTACACTTCAGCAAGAGAAATGGATATGACTGGAGTTTGGAAGGGAAATGTTCCAATTTACCAGTGTTGGGGGTTGCTACATTCTGGATGAGTAGATTTTCAAAATCTGCTACTTCATTTTCAGATATAAAGTATTGCAGTCATCAAGTCTAGCAGTTGAGAAATCTTAGATCTTTGTAACTGGGCCCATATCTCACAGTACTGAGCTCCACAAACCACTAGGGATGGCCCTATGGAAACACATCACATCAGTCAAGACTGCTAACTCAATGGGTGTGCAGCTGAGGCCCAGTGGGAGCCAAACAGGCAGCTGGGCCCTGCTGGGAGAGGCTGGCTTCAAGCCCCATACATGGAGTTATGGCTCAGGAACATGAATTGGCAGCAGGTGGCAGGAAGGCAGGGTTCAGTGAGCTCTGGGCAGACAGTTCAATGGCCATGAGCCTGAGTTGCAAGCTGGCACAACCACAGACTTGAATATTCAGCAACATCCTGGCATGAAGTAAACAAAAGAAACACTGCGAGCATTGACATCAAAATGACTTTGTTTGTTCAGCAGCCTTTACAGCATAATAGCTAGCAATGAATCAACTACAAGCCAGAAACCAGGTCCAAATCCTCAAAGCAGCTTTGGGGAAGGTGAGATCCAATGCTGGAGGCTGTTAATATTTGCTTGTCTTCCAGCAAAACCTAGATGCCCCACTGATCACCAATCACAGTGCTAGTAGCTATACGCACAGGGTGCATCTACATGAGATGCTTTACTTGAGATTAGAGCAAATTACTCTGTAGTAAGCATCAGCATCTGCACATGCAGATACTTACTGCACAGTAATTTGCTCTAATTACAAATAATAAAAGTAGCAAATTTACTCACAATTAGTTACTACGCAGTACAGCACATATAGACAACTAACCGGGAGCAAACTTGTCATTTTTCATTTTTTAAGTTATTAAGCCAAGGAAAAGAGGATGATTTGGTGATCATAGCACTAGATTGGCAGTTCAGAGACCTGACACTCAGAGGTATCCTGTCTGACTTTGGGTAAATCCCTCATTTGTACAATGGAAAGGATAAGACTCCCATTTCCTCCCTCTGGTCTACTTGGATAATAGAGTCTTTGAAGCAAAGACTGTACAGCACCTAAAAGAATGGAGCTCCAAACTTACTTGGGGTCTCTTGCTGCTAATATGACACAAATAAACAACAATGATGGTAATAATTCATCATTAAGACAGCAGCCACAGACCTGTGATTAATTGCCAAGGTAGAAAATCGCCGTTTTGCTTGTAACCTTATGCAAAGTAAAAGTAGAAATGCCATTGACAAGCTTCTCATTTAAAGAAGCATTTACACCATCAGGTGTCTTCAAGTTCAAAACCTCCCAGACAATTAAGCTATTGCCTATTAAGCTATATTCAGAGCCAATTTAAAGCCTGTATAACTCTGTTGACATCAGGAAGACTGCATACAGTTATAAGTCAGTGCAGAATTTGAACATTATTCATTGGGAGAGAAAATGAGCCTTGTGCCTGGCTGCAGCACAAAGCTAATACACCACTTAAATACAACACCCCCCCATCTAGGCCTCAGGTAGATTATAGGACTTGTGCTGAGCGCCACTGCACAGGGGTTGTATATCACCCTAACTATTTGCCCAATAACAATGTAAATTAAATCAGCCATGGCCTGATAGAATGTGACAACAATAAGTGAAAGGACAATATTTCCATTCACTTCAATTTGCCTGTGTGTAATGGACGCTGCCCACACAACCGTGCTTTGAATGTTGTACATGCAGGACTCTGTAATTGGAGTGCCACCCACTGTCTGCTCAGGTTTGGAGCCCCTCAGTCAAGGCAGGAGGAAGGCTTTGCCTGCCCTGGTCCGAATCAGATGCCGTTTGATTCTTCCCCAGTGCTTTACATTGACTTCAAATGACATTTTTGTGCGTCAGTTTACCTGCTCCTTTTCAGATGTCAGCAGCCTTCATGGCTGCTCATTGTTGTAGGCTTCAGAGACAATTAAGCCTGCCGGCAAGCAGACCAACAATGGAATAAAGGAGATTGCAGATTGTGATGACCAGCCTGAACAGACCAGCAGCATGGGGCATTCGAGCATAAGCCAAAATAGCGCATGGTTTTTAATTTCCTGAGGGCATCACAGTAGGCTTTATAGGTTCATTCAGCCCTTTATGAATGTCCCACTGGATAATACTATATGCCTACCTCCACTGTGCTAGATATCATACTGAACTATACCCCAATGCTAATAATGGCACTTTAAACATCAGCAGCACCTTTCATCCCAGGATCTCAGAACGCTCTGTGAATAGGAAATGTTTCAGCTTCATATGACACCCTGAGCTGTGTATCATTATTCCTCATTTATACATAAGCAAAGTGAGCCATACAGAGATGATGCGACTGATCCGAGACCACGCATCAGCTACGTCATAGTCAGGAATTAAAAACAAGTCTCTTGTCTCTAAGTACCGTGTCTTAACCATAAATCCATTCTTCCATACAAATTGGCATGAGGAACTGTCACTGTGAAAAGAAAAAAAAAATATCAGGCTCCCTAATCTCTTATCCAGTCTGCAGCAGTGGCCAGCTTCCATATGCTTCAGAGGAAGCTACATCCACCCCACTTCTCCCCCATAATTGCCCCTAAGTGTGCTACAACTTTTTGTGGTAGGATTTCACAGATAGTATCACGTAGTGGGTAGGGTTGGGACGGGGAGCACCGACACCTGGAATCAGACATGTCTCTTCTCCAAAGAGCAAATCAAGGGAGACAAACTAAAATGATATGCAAAACAAAGCATATACAGGAAAGGTGGGACATACTGTTTGTGAGGAAAACAAGTAGTGAAGTCAGAGAAGAACAGAATTTTAGGAAGGACTTTAAACGAGAAGGAAAAGACAAAGGGGAGATTAGTGCATTAAGAGAGGAAGGCACATATATAAGGGAAACACGAATGAAGGGGGAACCTGGGACCAGTAGAAATGAAGAGAATAAGAAGGAAAATAGGAAAGAAAGAAAGAGTTACCACTGAGGCTGAACTGATTCAAAGTCTTAGAGACGAGGACAAAGAATTTGAACATAACATGAAAAGAAATAGGGAACCCTGGAGACAACAGAAAAAAAATCAAATAACTGTTGAAGCAGAAAAAAAGGAAGATTACTTTAGCCATAGACCACTGTAGAAGAGAAGGGAGGGGAAATGTGGGGAGGAAGGAAAGGAGACAAACATGGAAATCAAGACAAGCTGTCTAGATACACAGGTGTCCACCATCACCAGGTGCCATGGCACCTCATAGGTCACTGATGGACCATACCTCTCTCCAGCAGGAAAGGACAGATACTTTACAGCGGAAGACCTGAGGCACAAGCCATACATTTTTTATTTGTCTGGGAAGTCTGTGGCCAACAAAGAGAGTTGCCAACTGTCTGTAAATTTTCAGACACTCCATAAATAACCAGGCTAAAAACATCTGTCTGTAAATTTTATAAGAAAACGGTGCCATCCATAAATCATGAAGCAAAAACAGCCCCGTAAAAGCATGGAGCTGACTGAAGCTTTGTGGTCAGAAAGCAAGTTGAATGTATTGCTGAAGCCCAGAAGAAAGCAGTACCAACCTGGTGCCTGAGCAGGAGCACAGCACCCACAGGTAGCTGTTCTCAGGGCTTTGTTGCTCCTTCCCCCACTACTCCCAGCCCTGTGCTGATGGTGCTGCCTTCCATCTACCTGTAACACTGCTAGGTGGCAGATAGACAGGCAGTGGTCTTTTTGTGGGGGTCTGTGATGGGATGAGGAAAGTGGGGTGGTAGCAGTAAGGTTGAGGGGGTGAACTGAGGGGGCAGCAGGGTGCAATCGGTAGTACCACGGTGTGGGGGTAAGAGGCCCCTGGGTGGGGGCAGCATGCATTGCTGAAGTCAAATAGGGTTGCCAACTTAAGAAAATGTTTTGTTTTGGTTTTTTTTACTAACAACCAAACTTTTTTACTATGGTCTGAACCTGATCCTTATCCAGGGTCTGGCAGAAGGCTTATATGTACATTATATAAAACATATGTCAGTAAAAAAGTTGGTTCTCAGTAAAAGTTTGCAGATTATTGGTATAAACCCTGTCAACAAAGCAACTGAATCCTCATTCAGTGCCCTATTACCACTAGCTCATCTTTCTTTATCACCTCTAAAGATAACCAAGAGGTAGTGAGGGGACCAGCAAGGAAAAGAGATTGTAACAGAACTAAAGAATAAGAATGCACAGGACCTGAAATGGAATAGATACTTGGGGTGAAGGACTCCAATTCCAGCTGTGCTGCAGAGTTCCCATATGACTTTTCCAAGTCCCTTAGTCTCTCAGTGCCTCAGTTCTTCCATCTGTGAAAGTGAGTTAATAGCACTTAACCCTCTCACAGCACTGCCATGATTTTTAATTCATGCTTATCAATACTATGCACTGAGCTCCATCTTTAGGGGAAAGCTTAAGTAATTATTTCTTCCTGACCTCATCTTTTAAGCACCTTATGCTGACGTGGGGCAATAGATTACGGGTAGAATGAAGGGGAGAGGGACCAGCAGATCAACCAGTGCAGGCACCCATTTCAGAGCACTAGCTACATCCCTGGGTGGAGGCCAAAACAAAGAGTCCATGGTTGGCAATGCACTCTCACCTCCTCCATTCTTGCCACAAAGATATGGGAACCGCCAAACATTGCCCAGTCCAATGGCATAGCCCACACATGACAGCAGAAAGTCAAACTTTCCCTTCCAAGAACCTCTGTCTGGTATCTCTTTCTTCTTCTGGACACCCCCAGCTTCTTGGGCAAGTGACTCAGATTCCTCAAGGGCTGCTTGCTTCACCTCGGAGGATGAGTTCAGCTCCACAGATGTGTTGTCAATCTTACCCATCACAGCTCAAGTGACTGCATGAGTTGGAGGACCAGAAACAGCACTTCCAGACCCAGCTGACCTCAGAGGAAATGGTACCCTGTGGGTTGGACAAAGCCGCTGCAAGGAGAAAGTAGAGAGAGAAATCACTAGTTGTTGTCTTAAGAGGATGAAGGTTTATGAGCCAAGTAATCCTAAATAGTAACCGTGGCTCTGAGCCTGACATTCTAGGTAGTTTTGAGCAAGTTGTATCAACCCCACCCATTTCAGTAAAAAAGCTCTTCAGTTTTCCTTAGTATGAAACGATATTTCCCTATCCCAGAAGGAACTGTGAGGAGGAGTGTTTCTAACAGGCTTGGATGATGCCAAATGGTAGGTAAGATCTAAAAGATCTAAGCGTTACTCTTACTAACAGAAAAAGAGGTACCGGCAGCATAGCCTTTACATGCTCTCATCTCACAGACTTCCTGCCATTGCCAATGCATCTCAAATACAAAAAATGCTAAGACAACTGTGGAACTAGGGATTCACATGGTCCAGTCAACAAATTACCATTGATGATGATATAGTCATAATGCATCTCTGCGGAAAGAATGAACCACAGGATACAGAGCTTATATTTGTAATAAGGGAACAGCGATGTTGGACAAGTGTGTATGCTTGATGCCATCAAGTCACATGGGGACTGTAACGGGGGGGCCTCCTCTGGGCGGATTTCCCTGTGGCCCATCCACCTGTTTCTGGGCTAACCGCCTGCCTTCTCACCAACCACACCTTGATGATAATTAATTAATTGTTGTTAATTAAGCGGGAGGCTGCCCATTTCTTGCCCTGATGCCAGGGGGTGCTATCTGCGGCTCCATACCTTCCCAACTCCGCAGCCCATGCCTCACAGATGGCATCCTCTGTTGTCAACATCACCGGCCCCACTCTGGGCCCCAGAATCCTACTGTTTGAACCCCACCTGGATCCCTCCACTCAGGCACCCTATTCCATCTTCATTCCCAGCTGCATAGCTCCCTGAGCTGCTCCCCCTTATAGGTGTGGTCTCCCTGGGACCTTTAGCTACACTGGCCCTGGGCCACCTCCAGGCCAGTCGGAACCCCAGGCCCTCAGCTCTGGGCGTTCCTCGCAGTCAAGGAGAGATTAGCTCTGTCATAGTTTCAGATTTTCATAATATTTTGGGGTTAGAAGGGACCTGAACAGATCATCTAGTCTGACCCCCCACCACTGACAGGAGCACACGCTGGGATCACACGACCCCAGACAGGCGCTCATCCAACCTCTTTTTGAATTTACCCAAGGTAGGAGTGAGGACCACTTCCTTAAGAAGTTGGTTCCAGATCCTAGCCACCCTGACAGTGAAATAGTGCCTCCTAATCTCTAACCTGAACCTATTCTCCAGTAGCTTCTGGCCATTGTTCCTCATCACCCCAGGTGCTGCTGAGGGGAATAGGGCCCTTCCTATTTGTTGCTGATCTCCCCTAACGAATTTGTAGGCAGCCACCAAGTCCTCCCTCAGCCTCTGTTTGCTGAGGATGAACAGGTTCAGGTCCCTCAGCCTCTTCTCATAGGGCCTGCCCTGTTGCCCTTCAACCAAGCGGCTGGCCCTCCTCTGAACCCTCTCAAGGCAGGCCACATCCTTCTTAAGTGCGGTGCCCAGAACTGGATGCAGTACTCCAATTGTGGCCTGACCAACGTCGCATAGAGGGGGAATATCACCTCTCTGGACTGGCTCGAGATGCATCTTTGGATGCACGACAAGGTACGGTTGGCTTTGCTGGCTGTGGTCTGGCGTTGGCGGCTCATGTTCATCTTAGAGTCAATAATGACTCCAAGATCCCTTTCCACCTCTGTGCTCTCAAGGGGGGAGCTCCCCAGCCTGTATGTATGCTGTGGATTCCTTCTCCCCAGGTGCACCACCCTGCATTTATCTACATTGAAGCCCATCCTCTTACCATCCACCCACTTCTGTAGTCTGTCTAAATCTAATTGCAGCCTCTCTCTCCCTTCGAGCGTGCCTACCTCTCCCCACATCTTGGTATCATCAGCAAACTTGGACAACATGTTTTCCACCCCCTCGTCCAATTCGCTAATGAAGATGTTGAACAGTGTAGGCCACAGGACCAAGCCCTGGGGGACCCCACTATTCACATCCCGCCAGGTCTAGTACAACCCGTCCACCACCACACTCTGGGTGTGCCCCATCAGCCAATTTTTGACCCATCCAACTGTGTAGGCATCAATGCCACAGTTGCTCAATTTATTAATGAGAATGGGGTGAGACACAGTGTCAAAGGCCTTCTTAAAGACCAGAAAGACTACATCCACAGCAACACCATCATCCAGGGATTTAGTTACCTGGTCATAAAAGGCCATCAGGTTGGTCTGGCAGGACCTGCCTCTGATGAACTCATGTTGATTTCCCCTGGGCATGATCTCCCCTGCTGGCCCCTCACAGATGTGATCCGTGATAATTTTTTCAAGGATTTTCCCCAAGACTGATGTGAGGCTTATGGGCCTATAGTTTCCTGGGTCCTCCTTTCTTCCTTTCTTATAAATGGGGACCACATTAGCTAGTTTCCAATCTCTGGGCACCTGGCCCATGGACCATGATCACTTGTACAGCCAGGCCAAGGGCACAGCAATGACCCCCGCTAGCTCTCTCAACACCTGTGGGTGGAGGGCATCAGGACCCGCAGATTTAAAAACATCCAGCCCTTCCAGAAGATCCCTAACTATTTCTGCACAGACCCAAGGCCTGGCAGTGCTATCCCCAAGATTGCCCCTACCTGTGGTGGGAGAGCTGTCCTGGTCCCTGTCCAAGAAAACAGAGGCAAAGAACTTGTTAAAAATTTCAGCTCTCGTCTGGCATAGCCACAAGATTACCATTTGAGTCTAACAGGGGCCCTACATTACCCGGTGCCCTCTTCTTGCTCTCAATGTACTTGAAAAAGGACTTTTAGTTGTCCTTAATCCTGGTCACTAACCTGAGCTCCACCCCTGCCTTGGCCTTCTTAATGGCCCTCCTACACTCACGGGCCAAGGAGGATTATTCCTCCTTGGTGATGGCCCCTCTCTTCCACCGGGTGTACACCTCCCTTTTGGCCCTCAGGCATTCTCAAATGCCTTTGCTGAGCCATGGGGGTTTCAGAGCACTCTTACCCCCCTTCTTTTTCTCGGGGACTGTCACACTATGAGCCTGGAGGATCATCCCCTTAAGGTACAACCATCCCTCATGGATTCCCACATCCTCTACCTTTTGGGCCCTTAGGAGATTAGTGTGGGAGGCACTAAGTTAGTTGAAGTTGGCCCTTCTGAACGGGTTTCAGAGCACTCTTACCCCCCTTCTTTTTCTCGGGGACTGTCACACTATGAGCCTGGAGGATCATCCCCTTAAGGTACAACCATCCCTCATGGATTCCCACATCCTCTACCTTTTGGGCCCTTAGGAGATTAGTGTGGGAGGCACTAAGTTAGTTGAAGTTGGCCCTTCTGAACCAGGTAACCCACCCAGTTGTGGGAGCTGGGGTTAAGGAGCCCCGACCCGCCTTTCACTGGGGTGGTAACTGGCCTGGCATTTCCTGGGGGCTCCCATGCCACAGAGCTCCACCAGGCCACCCACTCCCAGCAGGGTGCAATTTTAGGTCAGGACCAGGACCAGGAGCCTCCTGACCATCCCCTACAGCTCCTGCCTTACCTCCAGAGTGTTCCATGAAGCCTCACAGCCAGGTGATGTTGCTGCGCCTCCAGCCAGCAGCAAAATGCCCTGTTTATATGGGCACCCAGAGCTCTAAAATGGCCACAGAAATTAAGCACCTGCTGGCTACTTGACCCCAGGACTTAAAGTGGCAGGCACAAACAGTGCCCTGCCATAGGGACCCATATGGAAAGCAGAGAGCAGAGAAGTATCATTTGTCAGCAAAATGCATGGATGGGTGGGACAGTGTAACCCCACTCAATGGAGCATATATCCCGTAGTGTAACTACTTACATCTGAAAGAAGTGTGCACACATCACAGCATACTTACATGTTCTATAGTACATGATCACAGCTGAGGTGTGGATATGCAGTGGCATAACCCTCCCATTTAAGGAGTCTGCCTGCACATAAACATAAACATTAGGGCTGTGCGAAGCTTTGGGTGCCGATTCGATTCAGAGGAGATTTGGCCCGATTTGGTGGCCGAATCTCCAAATCCGAATCAAATCAGGGAACCAATTTAAAGGTCCAAATCAATTCAAATCTCTCTGAATCTTTGAAAATGATTTGGGCAGTCCCCGGTGGCTGCAGCAGGGAGCTGCAGCCAGACTCAGAGCTGGTAAGTAGGGGGCAGAGGAGGGGGGCTGGGAGAGGGGACCATGGGGGACCCCTACCCACCCCCCCGCCC